GTTTAAATTAAAATATGATAGATTTTTTGGCATTAAAATAATACTTTGATAGTTAGGGACCAATTGTGAAAAATTAGAGAAACTTTTGTTTAACTCAAGAGTTCACCAAATATGTGTCTTGAACCAAGTTTTATAAGGTAGGACATGGAAGGACCATAGGTGAGCTTATATAAGTTTTAGGCTACGTGGTGACTATTTTTGAAAATAATTTAGAGAAGGACCAATAGTGACAATTTCCCATTTGTGAGTCCACACGTCGTGTCCTTGGGGGGAGACGCACCATGTTTCTAATTCTGGACAGAAAGTTGTTGGAGTTTTTAATTAGCTTTCTTCTTATTTCTATACCCTCTTCGAAATCGATTTTTGTCTTCTTTACCCACTTAAACTCGATCATATCATCTCAAATCTCATGGAAACTTGAAGCTTGAAGTTATTAGATGAAGCCTTGCTCAAATCCTTTCATCTCCTTTCTTGGATGGCAATTTTCTTCCCTTTCCCCTTTAACTTCGTTTAGCGTTTATGTGTGTTTTTCAAATCCAAAATTAGTACTCCATTTATTTTGTTCATATGAGATTATTGTTGTAGTTTCATTACTTGATCTATTTACAAGCTCCAACTAATAAATAGTTGTGAGATTTGTGAGTTTGAATATTTTCAAAGTTCTTCAAATCCGATTTTTATGTACCAAGCAATGATACGAGCTTGAGATTATGATTATATTATCCTTTTCCTTTCTAATCTATGATCCATTTGTTAATTCATGACTAATGGTGAGATATCATATAGTTTGATTCAGTCTAGATACCATGTGATGATTTAGGAATTCTCAAACCATAAGTGTCATAGATCAAGCTTCATAATTCCAAACAATGATATGAGTTTGATGTTTTGTCTATATTATGTTTTCCATTCAAATCTATGATTCATTTGGAAATCCTTGTCTCATGGTGAGATCATGAAGTTTGGTACAAAACCATACTTTAATGATATATAATTTGGGGATACTTAACCTTGTTGATTATGGAACTATGTTCCAAACTCAATTTCTTGGTACAATCTTATCTTCATGTCTAGTTTTGATAATCTATCATTATTTTATGATTTGTATAGAAAATTAATCATCTAGTTTCATAAGTTTTTCTCAAATGATTTATAGAATTCCTAAGGACGTGGAACTTAGTATTAAGTTATGTTTAAAGTTCTATTTTTTTATGAAATCCTTTCTTCCTTATCAAAATGGTCTTATTATGTATATTAGTATGTGTAGAATCAAATCAATTGTTCTTTTGAATCAATTCTTTCTCTTTCGGATTTTAGATTATGATTGATCTTTAAAATGATTTCTATAATCTAGGCGTTTAAATTCCTTTCCAAGAATATGGAGCATATGAGGATCATATCTTATGTCTATTGGAGTGTTATAACATATATTTGAAGCTCCATAATTCTGCATACAACACAGAGAACCCGATACATCCTTGTATTAGATGAAATACATATGACACTCTTCCCCGTTTTGTGATTTGCAATATACTTGTATGTTGGGTCTGATTCATTCATTTGGTATCCTTTGATTTCCATAAGTCGTATTGGTATACTTAAGGAGTATTTTGATCTTAGAATGATGAATGGACCCATAGAGAGGCATTTTAGTCATTTGACAACCTGATAATGATGATACTAGGTGTTGACTTAGATGCACAAGTTTGAAGAGGTGTAGTTAAAGTATATAAGATTTTAGTTGTTTCTAGCATTGGACCAAGGTGAGTACTTTTAGCTTAAATAACTTGTCCATACTATATGATTATGTTACATGTGTTTTCTCCTTTTATGAAACAATATGTGTATGTAAATATTGTTTTGATTCTATATGTTCACTATGTGTTTCCTTTCATTTGATATTATATTATAATTTGAGGATATCCTAAAATGAATGCAGGACATTCTTTTTATAAATGTTTTACTTGAGGGGGGGGGGTTGTCTTATTCTTTGATATTAAAGATTCATATACTCTGGACTTCTTATTTAAACCTCATGGAACACACATTCCCTACTAAACCCTTGTGATTATGATCAGTTTTCTTGGTTTTTTTATATGATAATGTAGGTGAACCCTATTTGTCATTTAATAATATGTGCATTTATGAAATGAAAATTTTGAAATGTTTTGATATTTAAAACAAAAGAGCTTAAAGATCTTTGAAGATGTTTTAATCATCCTAATTGTACATATAATGATAGGATGGATGTGACTTTCTAAACTCAAGTACCAAAATGGACAACTTTTTGTTGCTTTCTTATTTGTTATGAGTAAATTTCTAGATAATCTTCACGTGCATATGTGATGTTCCCTACCCCTTGTGTGGCCTAGGTGGATGGCCCCTAGTGCCTGTTTGTGAATGTAAGGGCAAAAAGTGGCAGTTTTGTCTGTCATGAGGTTTTCAGATTTGACCACCAACCCTTGTTGTCGGATGTTAGTGTAAAAGTTGATAGTGTTGGTTGTCCTGAGCATGACACATCCAACGTTTTCTTATGAGTTTGGACTTATAAGATTGACATGTGATGGGAATAATTGCATGCATTGCATCTTACTCCTTGTTATGATGTGTTTTATATGTTCATATATTGTTGGACTTAATTAATCTTTGGAAAACAAGAAGTAAATTTTTTGGGAATATAAGACCCTTATTTTGATTTTGAACTATTAAACCGAAATTGTCATATATGTTTTTGTTTGTTTTGAAACCATGAGTTTAGTAAAATAGAGTTCCTATCGTTATAACTCACATGAAGAAGTATTGATCTATCCGACCTTCTTTAAATATTGGTTTATGAGAAGTGCTTATATAAGGCATAACTACTTGGTATTGTTTTTTTTTGTGAAGTTTATAAGAGATTTGTCATATATGACAACATACTTTGATCTTTGTAATATTTATACCGCAAAGTTAACCACTAAGTATTTTGTATTATGTTGTTTTGAGAAGGTACAAGTTTGTACATTTGTGTATGAGTGTTCACTCATACTCTATTGTATAATGTCTAACCTTAAGATTGTACTCACTAGGATCCACGTTGCCTAACTCACTACGTTAATAATTTTGCAGGTTTGTATATTTTTCAGAAGCTTAGAAGATTTATAAGATTTGGATATTAGAAGAGTTTTGGCTTGTAATGACTTCTTAAACCTTTGTTTCGATTCGATTGTTAGACTTTCAGCATGATGTTTCGAACTATTTTATGAAAACTCAAAACTTTACCAATTAATTTAAAGATTTAATTAAAGGCTATTTTAAATAGACTTACCGCTAAACCATATCGATATGGATTTACATTTCGGGCAATGCCTCTGGTAGACGTTGTGCCACACCAACTTGTGAGGTGCTTGAATTGGAGGGGCCTAACCTCCACACTCCTATACGTATAATTCATTGGGGAAGGCACCTCAAAATGGTCTACGGAGTAGGTGAACTTTCTATAATAGGAAATGTCAAGTTCCTTATCTGTTAGCATCGTCCATCCTAAAATTAATATTACAATGACATATATTTCTTTTTATAAAGAATAAAGTTAATGTAAGTACAAAGAACCCATGACACCCTAAATAGTTCACGTACATGCTTCCAATTAACCCCTATCATCTTCCGCCATGCTCTCATCGTAGGAATTTTAGTTTCAACGTGACGTACAAATCCCTCTTGGCAGTACGGAAACATCGCCAAATCCACACCTAACAAATTAATATTTAAGTAATTAGTAATTTAATATTATATATACTAAAAAATATTAAATTATAAATTTAAACATACCTTAGAAAGGAACGTAAATTCCAAGAAAATATACTTGATTTTTTAAAATTATTATCCACGATATAATCTTTTATTTTCTTAAATATAATAAATATTTGGACTTTAAGTTTTTTTTGAACGGCAAATACAAATATATATACTAAACTACTCATAAATTATTCCACATATGTCTACAGTGAGACTTGAACCCTCAACCTCAAGGAGGAAGGACAACACCAGATACCGAGTGTGTATATGTCCAGTTGCCCCAAAGATATCTATGACACAAAAATAACTTATTAATAACAATATTTATTGAAAAAAAAATTATTTTAAATTTCATACCTATTTCAGTCATCAAAATCTTTGATGAGTAAAAGCTACATCTTTGTTAGGGGGGAAATTTTCTCCCGTCCAAGAAAACCGTTACACAACATATGAAGCAAGCATACTATTACACCATCCTGGACAAAAAGGAAATAACAATTATTGGTTTATAAAAATGTCTCAAACTCACGTAACCACAATGATTTATCCGTTTTATCACTGAACACATGTGATTGGAATTTAAACGATATAGTTGATATTTTTAGGGACACATCTGAATCAGAATCCATAATCTAGTGACAAGATAAAACTCCAGTCTTCCAAAAAACAGCTTGCACTTATTATCGAAAATCTTAATCATTCATCGGCAGTTAAAACATTCATGTGGAAGAACACCTTGTAACATCATAATATGCATAAGTAATTCGTACCCATGAGGATTGGGTACGGTGATACAATTTCCATAAGTAATTCGTACCCATAATATGCATATGACCAATTTCGCAATAATATGGATATTAGGTTTTTTTTTTTTTTTTTTTTGCTTAACTTTTACCTAAATTTTAAAATAAATTTATAAGATTTATTTAAATTTCTCTTTTTCCATATTAAAACCTACAAATAAAAACATTTCAACTAATTAAAATATTCAAATATTTAAATCCCTCTTTCTTGATATAAAAGCAAGGTATACGCAAAATAATTCAATTGGTCAATTGGAAATAAAATATTAAATACTTTATTAATTTTATTAATTTATTTAAATGTAATAACCCCTCCCTCTTTTCTCCGTACCATTGCGGGGACAACCACCTGTACCCCAACTCACTCCACCCTTCCTTCCTTCTTCTTTTATAAATACACCCCCACCACTCCCCACTTCACCCACATTTAACATTTTCACACTCCACCGATCACAGTTTTTCTCTCGTTTTCGCCGTTGTTGTCTTCCACCCCTCATGAGAGGAGTAGAAGTTCCAAATCAACACCACCATAAATCAGAGACTACTGAATCAAAATCGAATTGTTCCACCAGTTGCAGAAGCTGTAATCAAGTTGATGGAGTCTCCGACTTACTACCCACCACCGCCACCGCTACACCACTCCGACTCATCTCGCCCCACCTTAGGCTTTCCTCTCGGCACCGCCTTACTACTCATCGTGATTTTCAGCCTCAGCGGTATCTTCTCTTGCTGTTATCACTGGGACAAGCTCCGTCACCTCCGCGGCTCCTTCACCGACGCCGCCGCCGACGATAACGACGATCACGTTCACTCGCCATCCAAACCTAAACCTACCTACTCCGTAAGTCGATTCAGAAATCAGAATTCGCAATACTTAATAGAATAATAGATCCTTATTCGATGAAAGTGAGTTGATTAATTTGATTTGAAACGTTTACAGGAAAAGCTGCAAAATGAGAATCAGAGTTTGCCGGTGGTGATGCCCGGAGATCGGATTGCTCGATTCATCGCATTGCCGTGTCCGTGTGAACCGGAGAGAGAAGAGAAGATTGTTGTAGAAGAAGTTCAGAAGATTCCGAAGCCACCTCACGTAGTGATCACTCTGTCAAACTAATTTCCTCTGTATATACATATTTTTATACGTTACTTGATTAAAATTCATAGAATTAAACGTATGCTTCTTCTTCTTCTTCTTCTTCATTTCTTCAAATTAATTACAACTCTTATGAAATTTGAAGGAAATTTAACGAGCATATACTCTCTCTGATTCCGATAATAAGTCTACTGATTGATTTCATCAGATTTGCCAATCTGCATACGTTTCTTACAAAAGTTTCTGTTTGAATTTTGAAGAACATAAATGGTGATAGACCAAGGTTTAAACTGGTCCTGTTAACTACTATTCAAGTTCATTTTCGCTTCCTTTTTCCACAATTCACATTTACTTTGTCGTGATCTGATAATATTTTTTTTGGAATTAAAGATTAAATTTTTATGAATAATGGTTGAATAGTAATATCATAAATTCCAAGACTGAAATTCATTATCATATTACAAGATGAAAAATATCACTGTGTCTCTTTTGTTCATCAGCATATTAGAAGATGAAAAGTATCATTCTGTCTCTTTTGAGGCTGTTTTCATTCCATTAATTATTCAAATTTTATATTAAATTGAACGAATGAAACATGGAAAAATCTTGGTATATAGTGTTAACTTTATCTCCTTTTTTTTGTAAAGATATTTTAAGTAGGCCCACTTGATGTCAATTACAACTACAAAGTATCTCCTTATTTGTTTATTCATACCACGATTAACTTTTGTTCTCTTTTGATTTTCTTTTCTTTTTGATTTATTTTTAAGTAAGTGTGTCTTAAACTATCTTGAATAAAAAAACATCGTACAACTTTGATAAAGCATTTTTAAAAGGAGAAAAAAACAAATAGTTATAATTAATTATATGTATCATTTTTTTCAAATAATCAGATAATTATATTTATAATTTTGTTTTAAAATAATCAAAAAGTAAAAAGGTAAATCTATTCGTACCCCTAAATTTCATATTTTGTAAGTGGAATAGTGTTTGTGTACTCCATAATTTGATTATTTATGTGAGTGACGGAGTAAATATAATAGTCCTGTCATCTACGGAAATATGTTACGTATTCAAAGGGCTAAGACTGAATTAATATTTAATCGTGAGGATTCTGCATTTCGTAGATGACATGCGAAACGAAATCTTGTGATATTCATTTGGGAAAATGGTATGATAAATCCTTTTTCTCAAATGACATCTACGAAAAAAAAAATTCAAACTTCACCTGCGATTCCGCAAATGTCATCTGAGAAATTGCAGCTTTTCTAACGAAAGTAAGTATTTTTCCAATTATCCATGTGTTGCGAAATCTGATATTTGTACTGTGAAATTTGACAGTTGTAGTATAAAATCTAACATTTTTATTTTAGATTTAAAAGAAAGAAGTAATGGTTATTTTAAAAATTCTTTTAAAACATAAAAAGTTTCACCATTTTTTTCACGATATCAGTTCTCTAAGAAAAAACAAGACTTCAAAATTTTCATATGAGTACCTTGTTATTTGTATCGGTGCTTCATGAAATTTAGTAAATGGTAAAATTAAATATGTAGGTATTTTGGTAACACTATAGTGTAAAATTCTCGTTAGATATAAATTTTCCTAATTTATTAAGTTTTGTCAAATTAAAGATATGTTTGGAAGACAGACCTTATATCGTTATGTCTTTCACACAACCTGCATTTAACTACTGCACACAATAGTCGATGAGAATGACGTGAAATACTTGAAAAAAATATTATTCAAAAAGTCTCAGTTGTTGTACATGTATATCTGGTAGTTAGTGCTCTAGTGAAAGAGACTCCGGCTATTCAATGCAATGTAGTAAATCAATCAACTGTTCGTGGAAAATGATCTAGCGAAAAGGTTACATTTAGAATTGATACAACATAAGAGGAAGCAACAATCAAACAAATATTTTTATCTCTCATACCTAGTTGTACTCCCAGATATGTTGTTGGGTCATAGGGAATTTTAAACACATGAATATAGCAGCGGAAAACTTAAACAACTCCTATGTGTTTACGCAATCTATAAAGATGTAGGTTTCCATCTATTACTACAACTACTTAAATAGATAGAATAACATACTTCTCTGGAAGCTAGAGACTTTGTGACTTGCGATTTTGTCCTTGCCACCTTGCTTTGGGTGGGAGGATCCAAAATAGAATCCCTCTAATGATTCACACTGATGAACCTATGAATCGAGTACAAAATGAATCAGAGTTAAAATTGAAGTAAGAATACGAGATTAAACAATGGATGTAAATAAGATCTTGTTTTAGCTCTATTACGCTTTCGAATGTTTACAGAGTACAAAGAAAGGTTTGTAAAAACTCTGATCCTACTCTAGTAAATATCCCTATTTATAGGGAACAGAAAGCGTACAAAAAATATACTAAGGCATAGACACTAAAGCTTCGAATAAAAGCACCTTAGTAAAATAGATTACAAAACATTCGAAGAGTGCAAAATATACTTTGACTAATTACAACAGTTTTGACCCTTACAATCTCCCCATTTGTAATCATAGTCAAACTTTTTAATTTGTAAGAAGCTGGATGGAATACAAGATCACTCTTCGAATTTCCGTATAGCAGGATATTATCTTCTTTAGCTCCTTCTTATCTCCTTCATTGTTCTTCTTACAATGATTCATACGAACAATTAAGTTCGTATATTGAGACGTTGCATATCTCTCCACTTCGCATGCCTGGAATAAGAAACGCTTTGCTTTTCCAGCCTTGTCCTTTCCTGCGAAGACTAACCCAAAAGGCTTCAAGCAGATTTCACCATCAGCATACTTTTTCAATTCTGCTTGAGTCTTCGTAGGTGCCATTGGAGATTTTACTTCCATACCTTTAGCTGTTGCTAACTCCACATCAGTTAGAGCCAAGCACTCATAATAATTTTCGATGAAAATCTTGATGTGAGCAACTCCAAGCTTAAATTCATCAGGTTCAGTGTTTTGAAGATATGAAAAAGATTTGTCTTTCAAAATCAATGCAACTTGTATAAGATCATACAAGTTCATTAATGGAAAATCTGCAATTGTAAATTCGCAAATACTTCCATTTGCCCTGGTCACCACGTACTTGATATTTTGGACTATGTTTTCGAATACCACATCCTTTTTCATACTGATAACTTTCTTGATCTTTACCAAAGACCAAACTTCCTCAGGGGCTTTTGCAAGAACAGCATGAAATCTAATTTCCATTTGAGTACCTTCATCCTTTTCTTTGAAATTTCCTTCTGCTTTAAATTGTGGCATGATGAACATCATCTCGTTCACTGGAAAGTCAAGCTGACTTGTATCAGTATTCGTAACCATGTAACTCTGCTTTGGTTTCTTCTCAAACGAATACATATGATTATATGCAACCTTGGCTTCAATTGTTTCGTAATTGTAGTGTTTGGACGGATCACCTTTGTCCATACCCTTAGGATCACTCGCACGTTGAGTCATTATGCTTTGTATCAACCTTAGCCTTTCAATTTCTGCTTCAGCTTCAGCTTTCTTTTCTTCTTTCGACTTTTCCACAACTATAGATTTCCCTTTATCTTTCGAAGTTGAATCATCTATCACCCCTTTTGTTTTCGAACCACTCCCACTAGTATCAACAGATTTTCCAATCACAATTCCTTTCGAAATTGGTCTTGTAATTGGCATTGTTGTTACAACTGTTGAAGTAATTGGCCCTGCAGATGCTACGATTGGCTTTGTTGTTGGGATCTTCGAAGAAAACACCTTTCCCACGACCTTCGCATCTTCATCACCAGCCTTCGTTTCTTCAACTTTTCTTTCTCCCCCTTGCACCCCTATGAAAATAGGTGGGGCATCTGTTGTTGGTAGAAGGCTTGATATACGAGAAATAGGGGCCAGTTGCTTGTGGGGAATAGCTTCGAATTGTGTGAACTTCTGGGATAGAAATTCTGGAGTAATAAGAAAAGACGAAATTGGCTTGACAGATAGATCTTTTAACTCCTTTAGTAACGTAATCGCTTCCACAAAGTTTTTACTTTCCATTGTAGAAAGTTGAGTAAGTTGAGGACTCAAACTTTCGTACAACTTGACAAATTTCGTGACAGCATCACAAATTATGTCAATCTTCTGATTCAGAGACGCATAATCCTGTTGAGTACTAGCAATATCTTTTTGCATATCTTCGCGAAGTTCACGAATCTGCAAATTAACATCCTCCCTGACTTTCTTAACTTCCTCAACATAGAGAACATGTCTTTCCTTGGTAACTGTCTTCAATTCTTTCAAGTCTCCTGCAAACTTCGAATTTTGAGAATTTATTCGTAGCTCATAGTTTTGGTCAACATGATCAACCTTCTCCAAAATTCTCGACTCCGAGTCTCTAACCATCCCAGAGACTTTACTCACTACCTTGGCTTTGAACATTTGCAACATTGTATCAACTTCCAAACTCGAAACCGATGAACCACCCCCCAGATCAGCTTGAGATTGAATTATGGAATTCAATTTCTTATTCAAAATTTTAAACTGCTTCATCGTCATCAGCATATGATCTGGAAAATCTTCTTCTTCGTCATCAAATTCTAGTTCATCAAACATACCTCCAAAACCCTCGTTGTCAGTTTCGGTTTCCATAAGAATGGTTTCTTGAATAGGCGAATTAATTTTGGGTGGATCAGTAGATTGAGAAGAAAAAATGGAAGTAAAGGGTTGATTGATGATATTTTCGAATGTAGGTGAATCAGTGGTTGAAGTAATCGGAGTGATTGGTGGAGGTAAAGAAACAATATGTTCGAAGGAAAGAGAAGTAGGATGACATGGATCTTCGTTCTTCGAATCTCCTTTACCCATAGTGACATTTGCATCTGTATCAGATACATTTACAGTGATGCCTGAAGTTCGTACCTCCTCAGGAACTGATTTGGCAACCGAGACTTCGGGTGGGATGACAATTGTCTGCTCAGGATTTGAACTTTCTTTGTTAAGATTTGCTTCTGGTGTTTCAGGAATTTGTTCATCTTCATCTTCTGTAGATTCAGTGGAAATCACAAGCTTTCTTGACCTCTT